GCTTAAGGCAGCAGGATTATTGCATGCTTGAAGCCAGCCTGAGCTACAGATGAAGACTCTCAAAACAACAGAGATTTTTCTCCCCTCAAGAACTTTAATTATAAATTCTTGATTAGGGGGCTGGAGAGATGGCTCAGAGGTTAAGAGCATTGCCTGCTCTTCCAAAGGTCCTGAGTTCAATTCCCAGCAACCACATGGTGGCTCACAACCATCTGTAATGGGGTCTGGTGCCCTCTTCTGGCCTGCAGGCATACACACAGAATATTGTATACATAATAAATAAATAAATTTAAAAAAAATAAAAATAAAAAAAAAAATAAATTCTTGATTATCCTACCCCTAAGATGTCCTTAAACGTTTTTTTTTTAATTATTAGAAGCTTCCCCACCCCAAAGAAGATTTACTTTTAATTATGTATTTGTCTGTGTGGTGTGTGTATGTGTGTGTGTGTGAGTGTGTGTGTGCAAGTGAGCGCGGTGCAGGCAGAAGTCAGGTGAGAGCAGACAATCCCCTGGAACTAGAATTACAGGCAGTTGTGAGCCACCAGATGTGGTTGCTGGGAAGGGAGTCAGATCCTATGTAAGAGCAGGAGCAGCTCTTAACCACTGAGCCATCTCCAGACCTTCCTACTTTTTTTTTTTTTCTGGTTTTTTAAGAAAGGATTTCTCCACACAACAGTCCTAGCTTTCCTGGAACTTACTTTATAGACCAGGCTGGCCTCAAAGTCACAGAGATCCGCCTGCCTCTGTCCCCTATGTGCTGGGATTAAAGGCGTGCGCCACCACTGCCCAGCTGAGAGCTTCCTATTTTTAAGCCAATACCAACAGAACTTACTATATCTGAATTAAACAAATTGAAGACAAATAAGGGTCTTTACCTTCTCTGGACTGTAGTGAACTGTCCTTTCCATTGTCTTCCAGGAATGCTACAAAAAGAGATTACAAAACCAGATTATCAGAATGTTAAAAATTCCTATTAAGTCTAAAGCCAATCACTGTATTTAGACATTCTGTAAGGAAGAGATCTGAAAAGTTCAGAATACTTTCTTCGGATGGCTTTCACAACGACTGCAAGGATGTGGTTGAGGTTAAGGACCAGACAGCATTCTACTGTATCCTTTTGGTTCACCTTCTGACGTAACCCTCCTCTTCCTCAAGTCCTGTCTAGGGGTAGGCATGACGGTGCATGCCTTTATTTCTAGCACTGGGGGTCAGAGGCAAGCAGATCTCTATGAGTTCAAGACCAGCCTGGTCTATACAGAGTGTTCCAGAATAGCCAGGGCTACACAGAGACCCTGTCTCAAACATAACAACGACAACAACAAAACTCAAGCCTAAATCTACCTTCATTGGAAGTATGCGAAAACTAGAGAAACCATTTAAACAACACTCAGCTCTAACCATCTTCATAAAGCTGCCAGACATGGCGCCTGCTTGGAGTAATTTCTCTGTTCTCTTGGGGGGCTACTTGTAGACCACTGCCAGGAACAGCATATCTACTGAGGTTGAGAATGGCATCCTAATAGATACTATGCAGGAAACACACTGTTTTAGTGTAATTGGAGACATCCAAAAGTTATTTATTGATTTGTTCTCAGTCACCATATCCTTACTTCCTATTGATTCTTTTTTTAAAATATTTATTTATTATGTATACAATATTCTGTCTGTGTGTATGCCCGAAGGCCAGAAGAGGGCACCAGACCCCATTACAGATGGTTGTGAGCCACCATGTGGTTGCTGGGAATTGAACTCAGGACCTTTGGAAGAGCAGGCAACGCTCTTAACCTCTGAGCCATCTCTCCAGCCCCCTTTCTATTGATTCTTGAACCTATTGCCTTCTTTCCTTCACCAGTTAATTCAGACCTCACGACCTCTTACTCAAATCTAACATTGCACTCAAACAAATCTCCCCATTTTCAATCTTAGTTCCTTCTCCCATCAGACCAGCATTCTTGAAAACAGAATAAACCCTAAGCTCTAAGACTTTCTCACTCTCACTCCTTCTTGGATGCTCAATAAATCTGTTAAGATCATCAGACATGATTCCTACCTAAAAGTTCTGCAAACATGATACAAAATAAAAAGAGAAAAAAGAAGGAGCAAGCTTTTAGGAAATGGCCAGACATAAGTTAACGGTGAAGAAAGGAGAATAAAGATTGGAGCAATAAACAGTTATGCGGTTGACGGCATGAGTCAAAGCAAAAGAGAGCCTGGGAGAATAGCCTGACAAGGAAAGATGCAAAATCAAATGGAGGGATGGTTCTCCATTGAGTACCAGGATTGATCAGGAACTGCCCAGTCCACTCTGAGTATCCTAAGTGATGAGACCCAGGGATTTCAGAATACCCGTAAGCACATTATTTACGCCACAACTTTTGAAAATATGATCATTGGGTAAAGCGTTTGCTGCACACGAAAGACCAGAGTTCAGATTCCTGGAGCCTTGTACGAGCCTGGCATGGAGCCTGTACTTGTAACCCCAGCAACATAGGAGTGGAGACAGGTGGATCTCAGACGAAATGCTAAGCTCCAGGTTCAGCCAGAGACTGTCTCAAAAGGAAGGCGGACTTTGATAAAAGACACCCAGAGTCAAACTCTGCTCTTCACACCCAAGTATGCATCCACATACACATGTGCACACCCCCCACGCGCCTAACCCCGTTTCTTGCTCTAATTTCTTGCTATAACATAATTATTCACGTTAGATGTCTCATAAAATAAGATGAATAGTAGTTTTAAAAGGAAGAAACCTATTATATAAAACAAAAGATGCTGTATAATTTCCTTTTATGTGGTGAGTAGAGATTGACACAAATTACTCCTACTACTTTTTTAAGAGAATATTTTGCTTTAAAAGTAGAATAGTTCTTATCTCAGGATGGGAGAAAGGACAATCTGAATAAAATGAGTCTCAGCAACTAATAAACAACACAAAAGGGGTCTACTTTAAAAATACAGGTACCAAGAGAAAACACACAAGCAAAATCAAAATTACCTTTCAAACCATGTTTTTATACTGTGTGCAAATGACTCTCCAGGATACAGCTGATTATTCCTTAGATACAAAAGAATGTCCAGTAGTTTGTCCGAATAGTCATCATCATTTATGTCTTTGCCAAAATCAAAGAAGGCTTTTAAAGTTTCCAGCAGAGGAATGAGATTATGACCTACCAGTTCCTGATACAAACTCCAGGCCACATCCACATCCTGATGAAGGAGGGCTCCCTGAATACAGTCATTATAGTTCCTTTTCGAAGGGACCATGACTTTTTTAATGTCTTCTAACAGCAGCAAGGCCTCTCTCCACCTGTCTGAGTGGATCAATCCCCGGATGAGAATGGTGTTAGCCGCAGTTTCTAAACACTTGTACTTGGCTTTCATGATTTCATAGACGTCGATAACTTCTGATGTCTGCTTGTGAGAGACGCAGAGATACAAATACTTGACGAGTAAATTGTACCCTACGATGCCATTGTTCTTTGCTGCGACCCAGGCCAGGAGGGACTTAGCCGCATCTACAGAGCTACTGCTACGAACCATCTGTGAAATGACCCAGTCTTCAAAACTGGCCTTCCCGTTGAAATCCTCTTTAAGTTTATCCCACTCTTCGGAATTCAGGGGTTTAGTTGGAAGTTCGATCGTGCTCCTCTCATGTGACGGGGCATGCTCTCTCTGCTGGGGGTTGCTAGTTAAGTGCGACCTCTTCTTAGCTGCCCCGGCAGCAAAATAATGATCAGAAGAACCTTGCCTATCGCTGTCATGTCCTTTCTTGAGTGTTCTAGCTTTGGCAAGCAGCAGATTCATTGCTTTCCTATGTGGAGGGGGCGTGGTTTTGACAGAAAACCATCGGTGCTGGTTCCTGGTAACCGTGAGAAAGGAAAAGACAGGCGAGGTCGCAGGGCCCAGCTCTAAGGAAGGGATGCTCGTCCAAAGTTTCGGAAAGCTCCGAAAACCAGGCAAATAGAAGGTCATTCTGCAGTGAGTTGAATGAGGCTTAAAAATAAAGCAGCTCCGCTCTGCTATGGAAAATTACAAGATTGGAGGTTGAAGATAGTTGATGCACAGTTCTTGAAAAGGAGACTTTGTGTTTCTCCCTTACAAACAAATCACGATTGTGCTTTAGGAGTGATTTAAAGGCAAGGAAAGCATACGAGTTCTCTCCATTAAACAATGATCCAGGGATCTTCAACACCAGTAGCAAGTCCTAAACCAGAAGACGCACGGTAATCCTGTCACATTCCAATTTTCGAATCTAAGGAAAAAGCACAAGAGGGACCTCTTAGTTTGACTCATGTGCATAACAACGGTCCTGAAGAAGGGCAAGGTACCAAGAGAACTAGAACAGGGAAATAAAGTAATAGCCTCGACCAGGAACCACCAACCGCAGCCCCACCAGCAAGAAAAAAGTCTAGGGTCCCTTGCTCAACTTTACATTTTCTACAGGTCTTTAAACGCCTCAAAGAGGGATCGGGGGACGCAGCACAAACATCACAGGGAAGGAAGTGAGGTCCAGAAAGAACTTAGACTTAACTGTATGGAAGGCCGACGAAAGAAGTTCACTTCATTCAACAACTCACCACGCCACGCATGCTTAAGGTAGCCATAAATGCGGCAAAAACTACAGTACCCACAAGGCATCGCGCTGAATGAGCCGCCAGGGTCTCGGTGGCTCAATTTCAGGCGTCCTATTGAGTCTGACGAAGAAAAAAGAAAGAAAGGTAGTTTTGAAGCTTTAGTATCCAAGAGGACTGGAAACGACTGCGGAAGCTTCTATTACATCTTTGGAGATTGTCAAGGCTTCCACAGCGAGAACGAAATGTGACGAAAGTGCTTTTCCCAAGTAGGAAAAGCCAATGGATTCCTGCATCCTGCGGTGCGCACGCGCCAAAGGCCCGCCTCCAAGAACTCACGCGGGCTTCTTATTGGCCTTTAGGATCGGGTTTGGTGAGTTGGGATACTCTTATGAAGAAGAAGAATTTTTCATCTATTTCACGTCTGCTTTTCGCCCCTGCTAGCGTGATCGCCGGGTCTGGAACAGATACAACATTCGAGCTTTTGCCTCTGGAGCTACGGCTTCCGCCCGTGTCCAAGATGGCTTCCCGGCGTCCTTCTTCCACCTGCCTTGGTGGCGTCTGACGTCGGAGCTGGTAGTGGGTGGAGCGGTTAACAACCCGCAAATGTAGGGTCCTCTGAGCGGGAGTCAGCCATGGACTGGAAAGACGTGCTCCGCCGGCGCTTAGCGTCGCCCAACACGGATTCAAAGCGTGAGTTCGGGAGGGACAGCCCGCCAGACAGCCCGCCCCAGGCCAAGAGGTGGCGGGTGGCGGAGGGGGGGGTGAATAGGGCGGGGAGGAGGAAGGGCGAGTGACACTTTTCGCGTCTGGTAAACTTATCTGACAAAAGACAGTGAGTGCAGTGTGCTTTCAGCGGTCCTCGGAGGGGTGACCCAAACTTTCCTGGTAAATCGAAAAGCGCAACCGTGGCACCACGATCTTAGGCTTATGCGGAATAACTGAGAACCTTGGTGCCCTTCGATCTTACCAAGACCTATTTATCCTTATAGCTTCCCCCCTCGAGCCCTGGTCAGTCTTGACTTAGTGGCCCTCCTTGCCCCAGTTTCCCGAGTGCCAGCGCCTTTTAACTATCACTTTTCACATACCTCTCCATTTTAAATATCATTAATCCGTTTTCCATTGTTCGTTCCCTGGCCCTTCACACTTTGCTTGCCCATCGGTCTGGTTAAATTCTTCCAGTTCCACACCAACACCCAGGCGGTTGAAATGGGCTAAAGGAAAACAGGACCTAGAGAGATGGCTCTGCCATCAAAGGCTAGACTGACAACCAAAAAGAAAAACAGAACCATGGTGAGTTCTCACTTAGAATCCATGTCCGCCAAACTAAAGTATATTTTAGTCGCATCTGCAGGAAGAGCATTTGATCTTCCACACTTAATTCCTCTCATCCTCTCAAATCTCCAGTCTGCCCTCCTCATTGCTCACTATAGTTGGTGCACTTGTTTTCAAATAGCATCTCAAAGAGGAATTAGAGGCAGTTAAAGGAGAACCTCAACTCCTTCCAGTTACCATTGCTCTCAGATGCTAGGTATTAATCCTTATATCCAACCTTCGCCTTTAACTTGAATTGTCACCTTAAAATGAATTGTCACCAGGTAGTGGTGGCGCATGCCTTTAATCCAGGCTCTCGGGAGGCAGAGGCAGGTGGATCTCTGAGTTCAAGACTAACCTGGTCTACAGGTAGACTTCCAGGACAGCTAGGGAGGGCTACACAAAAACCGTGACTTTAGAAGAGAATTATCTGTACCCCTCCTGGAGTCCCTCCAGTCCCTCCTTAGGTTACATCCCTTCTCATAGATCCACTGGCTTCTCTTCAGTTTGTTCCTCTCATACATTATTGGCTTTTCCTTTTCTCCGCCATCATTTCCCTTATCACTTACAAACATGTAATAGCTTGCGTGCATGTATGTATACCATGTTTGTGCAGTGTCTGCTGAATGAAAATGAGGACGTGACTTTTCCTAGGTCTGGTTGAGGAGATCGTCTTATTGTAGATATGAGGGAGAGTTCAGCCAGAGGCATCTGGAAGGCTCCAGACTGAGTGTGGCCAGCAGAATAGACGGGGCCATGAGAGGGGAGAGGGGGAGAGAAGAGAGTTGGGGGCAGGCGGACCAAGAGTGCACGTGGGAGCCAAGAGCAGAGCCACTGGAGCATCATAGCCAAAATGGATGAGTTCTCTAGGGTCGGAAGCTGGAGGAAAGGGAGCCCAGCCCCTCGACTGGGGACCTTTAGGTACTGGGTAATGCTGGGAGGGGTCCTGAATCAGCTTTGAAATAATAGGCACCTCAGTTAGCAGTTCGTCCCTAAGCTTATTTGAGACCAAACCCTGCAAAGGCCAGAAGAGGGTGTTGGATCCTCTGGAACAGGAGTTACACTTGGTTGTGGGCTGCCATGTGGGTGCTGGGAAACAAACCCAAGCCATCTACAAGAGCAGCAAACCTACTGAGTTTTACTATTCTTAATCCTACTGAGTCGTCTCTCCAGCTCCCCACCAATGCTTGCCACATTTCTCTTCGCCTTTACTAGGGAGGCTGCCTCTGCGCCATGGGTGTATTGCAAATTATCTGGATTGTCTGGATAGTATTAATAGCTCCTCCTTAAGGCTATTGCCGTCAGCGTAGTAGATCCCATCCGTGCGGCAAATCTCCTTTGCCTACCAAGGATGTGTTCTTAAGGATAACCTGTGTCATCAGGCTTTCTTAAATCATTTTCATAAGCAAATAAACATGCTGGTATTTTTCCCGGTTGAGAAACGTCCTCAGGCCAGGTACATGTCTGTAGACACCATCTCTCCAGAGTCAGAAGCAGGAAAACGAATGCAAGTTCAGTGCTAGGCTAGTCTATAAATAGTTCCAGGTCAGCCAGGAATGCCAATCACATCTATCTCAAAAAAAAAAAAAAAAAAAAAAGTAAAAGGAAAAACATAGCAACACTCTAAAACTTCATGGCTAAAACTGCTCTTGTCTATTATTTCTGCTTGTGAAGAATCCTTAGTGACCTTTATTTGTGAGATTTTGCAATTTTCTCCATAGTACCAAGCCATACTAAAGAAACCGTAGGCTTGGTTCAAGGTTAAAGGTTAACATGACAAGTACGAAAACGGCCCTGAAAAGTGAAGTGCTGAAGAAACAGTCCCTGGCGTCATCTCTGGGAGAAAATGAAACACAAAAATGGTTTTGGGAAACTCAATGGCAGAATTGAAGAACCCGGTGCGCTGGAGTGCAGATGTGGCCCCAGGCTCTGAGGGATCAGAGGGGAGCTGGAAGTGTGTTAGAGCTTGTGCCTTCCGAGGGAGCTGGCAGAGAGCTGTGATCTAGCCATGGTCACTCTCCTCTGTAATCCCAGCTCCTGAGAGGCCGAGACACAGGGTTTATCACAAGCTTGAGGCCAGCCTGAGGGACAGAGTGAGACCCTGTTTAAAAACAGTAAGCTTGGGAATCTGGAGGAGGAGCTCGGGGTAGAGTGCTTTCATAGTGTGCACACTTCCCCGGGATTGGAGCCTCAGTAAATATGGTCTCCACCGATGTTTACCCTAGATGAGGAAAACGGCTCTATGAGAAAGTTACCTGTCAACAGCAGGCAGGTTGAAGGACCTCCGACAGCTTTGTTCTTTGTTTTTTTCTGAAAGAGGAACCGTGGTCATGAGGCTGAAATTGTATGAGGTCTGGGGCTGTGCCTGTCTTGCTTCCTCTAGCCACAGTGTCCAGTACGGGACCTGTACAGTAGGTACTTGTGCGTTTCAGTTCCTGTTTCTGGCACAGAGAGTTGAAGCAGAGCTCTGTATCGCTTCCTAAGCACTCCACCACTGAGCTGTCATCCTAGCCCTAGCGAACGCTTTTGGTAGGATGAATTGAAACACCTTACGGGTTTTTAAATGAGACCGTGACTTGAAGAGGCAAGCTTCAGTGCTAAATACAAGTACAGGGAACACACTGATTCTCAACGCACTGGACAGGCCAGTGACTGAAGGGAGGCTAGGTCAGTGGAAGGCTGTATTTCAAGTTAGTATGTTCGGTGTCTAAGCACAGTTTTGAAGGCCTATTCGCCACTGCAGATATTTTAACTAGACTTTAATGTATAAGCTGTCCTGAGAAAAATAATATTTGTTGTTTGTGCTTTTCTTGCATTAATTTTTCTTCCCTGTGTTGTTACTAGGGAAAAAAAGCGAACAAGAATTAAAAGATGAAGAGATGGATTTATTTACCAAATACTATTCCGAATGGAAAGGAGGTAACAAAAACACAAACGAATTCTATAAGACCATTCCCCGGTTTTATTACAGGGTAAGTGATATCTAAGTGGTATTTCTGTGTCTGTAAATGAAAAGTAATTTCAAAAATGCAATTCAAAGCATATATTTTTGTAATAGGGTATTAAATTGAACATTTTTATATTTTATTACCCTTGATTTATATCACTGTGATAAAACACTTTGAAGCCCCTAAGATCTTGGACCAATAAGTTGGTACTAGAAGGCAGTTATCCCTTTTCTGAGCATTAGGCTCTTCCAATTGTTATTATAGAGATGAGTAGTGAGTATGCTGTTTGGTAATGTAGTCTCAGCAGGCATGCTGACACTACCCAGACTGTGAAGCTAGTTCTACTTAATTTGATATTGACATAAGGTGACTTTTGGAATGTGTGTTTAGTTGCCAGCAGAAGATGAAGTCTTACTACAGAAATTAAGAGAGGAATCTCGAGCCGTATTTCTACAGAGGAAAAGCAGAGAACTCCTCGATAATGAAGAATTACAGGTACGAGTGAAGTCAAGTGGCTTTAGATGTTGCCCATTTCTTTTGTGCAGAAGTTTGCTATGTGTCTTTGAATTATCGCTCCAGAGTAGTTTTCTGAAGGAGGGTGTGTGCGTGTGCATCAGAATCAGGTGCTGAGCTTGCATGGCCTGGTTTCCAAGGACTCTTTTCTTTTCTTTTCTTTTCTTTCCCTTTTTTGTTTTTTCGAGTCAGAGTTTCTCTGTAACTTTGGAGCCTGTTCTGGAACTAGCTCTTGTAAAGACCAAGCTAGGCTTGAACTCACAGAGATCCGCCTGTCTCTGCCTCCCGAGTGCTGGGATTAAAAGCATGTGCCACCACCACCCGGCAACGTTTTGTTTCTTAAGTTTCCACATAATCCTAGCAGTTATCAAGATTTGGGAAACACTACAGTACTGTCCACTGCAGAAGTTCAAATCCAACCACCCTGCCATGGTGTGACTTTGGGCAATGGACTTGATAACTTCATGCTTCAGTTTTCGTGTGTGGAGATAGCTGCCCATATTAGATAGTTATGAATTAAAGAAGCAATGTACTTGACAGCTTAAAAATTTAGCAGGCACAATAAGTGTCAGTTATTTTTATTAGTAGTAGTCAAAATAATGGGGCATAAATTCATCTTAACTTTTTAGATAGAAATGATGCATTTACATTCTTAAATCTATTGTTAACTTATAACATCTTCATTTCCCTAATTTTCTTCAGAATTTATGGTTTTTGCTGGATAAACACCAGATACCACCTATGATTGGAGAGGAAGCAATGATCAATTATGAAAATTTTTTGAAGGTTGGTGAAAAGGCTGGACCAAAGTGCAAGTAAGAATAATGTGATTTAAAGAGGAAAGTGTGTTCTGCATTTTTCTTGCCCGAGGGTCAATGGTGCTGAAGTCAATGGTGTGACATTTGACTTGCTACGTGAAGTGGCTGAAGTGTGATAAAATTATTTAGAGTCAAGGAAAAGTTGGAGGCTGGAGAGATGGCTTCGTCTGTCAGATTCCCAGCAGTTATGTAAAAGCGGGGTGCAGTAGCACTGTGTGCAGCTTCCAGTGTTGATAGAACAGAGGCTGGCAGATCCGGGAAGTTCACTGGTCAGCCTGCTAGTCAGATCAGCGAGCTCCAAATCAGTGAGAGAATCTGTCTCAAAAATAGGGTGGAGAGCTTGAGGAAGACAGCTGCCATCCACCTCTTGCTTCTTCATGTACCACATGGCACCTGTGTTCACAGCCACACCATCATACACTGTGCCGTGCATATAAAATGTTGGTCTGGAATGATAAAGAGAAATAATACAAAGCTCAGTGTGGTGATGCCTGTTGTAAGCCCAGCACAAGAGAGATTGATGCAGGAAGATAATCACAAATTCAGGGCCAGCCTGGGCTCCATAGTGAATTCCTGTCTCAGATGAAAGAGAAAAATAGGACACATTGGGAGGTAGTACACACCTTAATCCCAGTACTCGGGAAACTAAAGCATTCAACTTAATGAAGTATAATAAAACTTATAGCAAGAAAAATATGCCACTGAGTGTGGTGGCACACACCTTAACCCCAGACTCAGTGGGCAGAAGCAGGTGAATCTCTGTGACTTTGAAGCCACCCCACTCTACATAGCGAATTCCAGGCTACCCAGAGCTATATAGTGAGATCCTGTCACAAAAGAGGGAGCGAGAGGGAGGGAGAGATTACAGGGTGCTGGGCGGGGGATACCAAATTGGGCATGCACCTCTCATTTGGCACTCTAGAAACTGAGGCAGGAGGATTGTAAGTTCAAAGTTAGTTTGCTGCATAGCAAGAAAGAAATAAGAATAAGCAAAATAATGCCGCTTAATGATTCTATGTCTTCGTTCCTTTTTATAATTAATTTGTTTATTTTACAAGTGTTGATGTTTTGCTTGCATGTATGTCTGTGTGAGGGTGTTAGATCCACTGGAACTGGAGTTAGGGACAGTTGTGAGCTGCCATGTTGGGGCTGGGAATTGAACCCAGGTCCTCTGGAAGAGCAGCCAGTGCTCTTAACCTCTGAGCCATCTCTCCAGCCATCTTCATTCCTTTTTAACACAGCAAAGATGTACTTTTTCCTGCTTATAGTCTTTTAAATATAAATATAAATCAGATTCACTTACTATAAAGCCAGTTTTAAGGGCACACAAAAGGTAAACCAAATGATAACTTAAACTCAGCCATCCAGAGCTGTTACAGGTAGAAGACAGAGTATGTGTCTGCACCAGATAGCTGGCCCTGAGGTGGTGGCTTCACAGCCAGACTGTATAGTGTATAAATGCCATGGTAGACATTTTGGGATGTGTAGTGCTTAATGATAATATATATATTTACATGCTCCTTACAGCAACCCACATCCACTTAAGCACATAGTATTTTAAATTTGTGGTTATATGACCATGACATTCCTTTTGGACAAACTCTTTATAGTTTTTAAACTATTAATGCTGTTCAGCATTTTGAAATATAAACTATTAAGATTATAGATAACCTTTTAAATACTACAAACATCATGACGAGTATATTAAATCGCTTACACTGTATCTAATGTCCTAGGAGAATTTACTACAAGATGCTTCGAGCAGACACCAGTAGGACATGCTCAGCAATTGATCCCATGGGTAGAATTACGGTCATGATTTTAGTGTCTGTTCCTCTGTCTTACTAGACTAGAAATGTTACCTTTACAGAACATGGTGGTGCAACCACCTCAGGAGTACAATGGTTCTTCTGCTGGCTGTTACAGGTGTCAGTGTGACCACTATGTAAACAAAGTTGGAGCCAATTCTCATCAGAAGTGCTGGTGGTATGTGCAGGTGCCTTTAAAGATAGATCCCCAAGAGAGCAGCAGAGACGAAAGAAAAACCAAAAAAGATTCTGCTGAGAAAAATGCTCTTTTTGTTGTTGTTGGTTTGGCTTGGTTTGCTTTGATTTGAATCAAAGCCTATCCCAGGCTGACCTGAAACTCACTTTGTAGCCCAGGCTCATGTGTCGGCCTCTTGAGTGCTGGAAGTGTAGCATGCACAATCAGCTACCCATTTTCTTCTAAACACATTTCTGATGCTGAGAGTGTCTGTGGACTTCATATTAAAAGGGAACTCTTTTTGTTTTGTTTTTCTTTTCTTTTTTTCCTTTTCAATAAGGGTTTCTCTGTGTATCTTTGGCTGTCCTGGAACTAGCTCTGTAGACCAGACTGGCTTGAAGTCACAGAGATCCTCCTGCCTCTGTCTCCCGAGTGCTGGGATTAAAGGCATGCACCACAACCGCCTGGCTGTTTAAATGAACTCTTTAGCTGGGTATGGTGGCATGTGTCTTTCATCCCAACACTTGGAAGGCAGAGGCAAGCAAATCTCTTGAGTTCAAGGCCAGCTAGGAATATACAGTGAGATTCTGTTTCAAAAACAACAACAAAATAGGAATTCTGGGAGAGGGGGTGTTTTCTCACTCATTTGACCAATCTCATACTCAACTGGAGTCTTTATTGTCTCTTAACTTTGATTTTTAATTGTATGAATTTATGTTGTTTGCTAATTCCTAAAGATGTCATTTTTGTACTATGCTGGTAGACCATTTTAATTTTATTTCCTTTTTTAGGCAATTTTTTACTGCAAAAGTCTTTGCCAAGCTGCTTCATACAGACTCATATGGGAGAATTTCCATCATGCAGTTCTTTAACTACGTCATGCGAAAAGGTGATTCGTTGTGTGTGTGAGTTTGAACTTCTGTCTGGGAATCAAGTAGGTGTTGGTCTGTGCTTTTCTGTTACTTCTCCCATGGGACATGCTTTTTTCCTGTGCGGTTATGGTTCTGCTGTGCAACATACAGAGGTATGATTTTTCTGTATTAAAATTGAATTCATTATTGTAAACAAAAGCCTTGTGTACCCCAAGGAGGGTGGCAAAGTAGAGATATCAAAAGCAGATACACTTTTTTTCTCAGTCACATGTACCCTCCCCAGAGGGCCTTTCCCAGTCAGCTCTGTCCTGTCGCCCTAATGTCCCCACTTTGTTGAAGTTAATGTCTAACGTTGGTGTGAAGGAACAGATTTACACACGAGGTGGAAAGGTGTGATCCCGAGGGCTTCACACAGTGTTTCACAAGTCTGTTTTGTGATTGGCGATAAAATATTGAGACTCCTTAAGCTTAAAGGGCTAGTTCCTGATCTGCTGAGATCGCTGCCATTTAAGTAAAACAGCTGTTTGTGGGCTGGAGAGATGGCTCAGTGCTTAAGAGCACTGACTGCTCTTCCAGAGGACCCGGGTTCAATTCCCAGCAACCACATGGTGCTCACAACTCTCTGTAATTACAGTTCCAGGAGACCTGACACCCATGGCAAAACACGTGAAAAATAAAACATGAAAATAAAAATAAGAACAACAACAAAAGAGCGCTGATTCATCAATCGGCATGCTGCTGTCAGACCCAGGGACAGCTCCAACAGAGAGTTGGTTCATCTGTTGGTGTGCTGCTGTAAGACCGAGGGACAGCTCCCTCCCAGCCTGCCTTAGTGATTTGTGTTTTTGCTCGAGAAATAAAATCACTTTCTTTTAAGAAACAGAACAAGAATTTTTTTTCAGAACAAAAATTTTAATGGATGATTTGAAATAATTTCAATTTACGAGTAATCACATTTCACTAATATATATGTCTGAAAGGATAATCTCAAATCCACAGCTGTAGTCTTGGTTTCAAGAAGCCGGTATCACAACATTCTGGAGTTGTTATGAATCTTCTAAGTACCATATGACCTGTGGAATCTTACTGTGCACATTGTTAATTAATAGACTTGGCCGCAGTGATTAACCTCAGGAGGATGCAGGCTTCCCTGAAGACACAATGTTGTGCTAGCTCTCCCTGCTGAGTGGAACACCGGCTTTAATATGTGAAAACAATATCCCCAAGGGCCTCAGTTCACTGTAGTAACCATGGCAGAATTGTTGAAATCTGCCATTTCATGGCTTTTTTCTTTTGGTTTAAATGGCTTAGGGTGCTGGTTACTTAATGTCTGTGAGAATGGCTCTCGGGGTTCTGGAGCTGGCCTGCACTTCTAGTCTGGTGTCTTACTCTCGTTTTCGTATATGTGGTAAAGAACGGATCTCAGTATTTACGTGTAACTTCCGTGTTTCTTGTCAGTTTGGCTGCATCAGACAAGAATAGGACTCAGTCTGTATGATGTTGCTGGGCAAGGATACCTTCGGGAGTCAGTGAGTATTGATCTAAATTTAATAAATATGATAGACACTAAAATATTAACAGTCATCACTAAGTGAGTTGTGCTTGCAGCTAAATCTTACACTGCTTGATTTTGTCTTCGTAGCCTTGGTTTGCCTGATTTTACCTGTGTAAACATGCTCATTTTGTGTGTATTGGCCACATAAATTCATCTGTAGGTGCTTTTCTTCTAGCCTCAAAAAAAAAAACCTTTTGAAGCTGGGCGGTGGTGGCACACACCTTTAATCCTAGTACTGGGAGGGGGGGGGGAGGCGGGCAGAGGCAGGTGGATCTCCATGAGTTCAAGGCCAGCCTGGTCTAGAAGATCTAGTTCCAGGACAGCCAGGGCTGTTACACAGAGAAAGTCTGTCTCGAAAAACCAAACCAAAACAAAACAAAACGCTTTTGTTCTTTTTAAAAAGGAAAATGCAACTGAGCATTATAGCATGCTTCTAGATCAAGCACTGCAGACGCTGAGGCAGGAGGATTGTTGGGAGTTCAGGGGTAGCTGAAGCTCCAAAACATTATCAGTAAATAAATAGAAGGCATCTAAACAGGCTTTAAGTGATGGGTGAGAGTGGAGTGTGGGGCCACAAACCTGGAGTCCTAGCTTAGGAGGCCAGGATACAGGAATCACTGCCAAGCTGGTTAGGACTGTGGAGGGCCCGGGTCCACCCGTGTTCTTGGGGTTCATCTTGAGGACCGTTTCTGGTCAGCCAGCTAAAACATTCTGTTCCTGTGCTCCCTCTGCCCCGCCTGGTGATTAGCTGTAGGGCATTGTTGACTCCATCTTTGGTGTGGTCATTTCCCACCTGCTTGGCGGAAATCCTTGTGCAGCAGAGAGGTATATAAGGATTTCCCCAAGGTTGAATAAATGGCATTTGGCTGATCTCCTTTCAAATGACCCAGGTCTCTTTGTGTGTTCTTTCAATCTACAGGCCCTTGCACCCGAACTGTACTGAGGGGGTAACACAGAATCGGGTGTTACAACTATGTAGTGAGACCTTGTCTCTGAAATCCAAAAGAAAGAAAGAACAAAAGAGAGAGAGAGAGAGAACAATTACTAAAGAAAAAAGATTTGGATTTTTGTTTTCCCACCTTCTCCGTGTGTGTGTGAACTGTGCATGTTGGCAGCTGTCTGCTGTCGTGGTGTGAGGGCAAATGATAGTGGCTGAGATGAATGGTGCCTGTAGAAAAGCAAGACGAAGCTGGGCATGACAGCTCACACTTGTTAGGCTCAGGACTTAAGAGGCTGAGACAGGAGGTTACTCACAAGTTTGAGACCAGCCTGAGATGCTGAGATCTTACCTCACCACTGTCACCCTAAAACTAACCCCCAAGAGCTAAAAGTAGATCCATTCAGTACACATTTTGGACCTCCAACCTTCCTTCACCTCTACCACCCCACTCAAAAAAAAGCAGAGCGAGAGAAAGAAATTGCACTCCCTGCTGCTAGATTGGATGTGTGGTAGAGGGAATGGGACACTGGCAGAGGAAATGTGGAGACCAGGTTGGGAGAAAGCAGGAGAACTGTGAAGAGCTCGCTTTAGACACCGGGCTTGAGGTGCCTGTTCTCTTATGAGCTTTGGTGTCTCTGATCTACCAGGCATATTATGCTTAGAATGATTAGCGCAGAAGATAAAGTTGTTAAAATGAATATAAAATGCCGCAGGAGACTTGTATTTGTTCACTTGGATTTAGTGAGACAAAGCCCTTGTAGCCAGGCTGGCCTGGAACATCCAGTGCTCCTGCTGCCTCTGTCTTCCAAACAGTAGGACTGTGGGTGTGTGCCAAAGAGTCTTCACTATATTAACCTGGTGTCCTAATGCCGTTTCTTTCGCTGTGGTAAAATGTTCCAATCAAAGCAATCTTAAGGGAGAAAGTGTTTATTTGGCTTACACTTCCAGCTTCTAGTCTGCCATAGTGAGGAAGTCAAGGCAAGATACTTAACCAGCGTTTTGTTTTGTTTCCAGGACTTAGAAAACTACATCCTTGAACTTATTCCTACTTTGCCACAATTAGATGGGTTAGAAAAATCCTTTTACTCCTTTTATGTCTGTACAGCAGTTAGGAAGTTCTTCTTCTTTTTGGACCCTCTAAGAACAGGTAAAAAAAAAATGTAATTTAAATATTGGAATGTTTTTTATTGCATACTGTCTCAGTATTGGAGAAGTTTATCATTTCCCTTTGTTTTCTAATGTCAGCAACGTAATCTGGCAAATTTCAGAAGAATGTACAAGTGTACAAGACAGCCACAATGCTTTGCTTTCTATGTAGATCTTCCAGAATATTCTTGCACTGACTGTATCCAGCTATGCGATGGTTGGATGTCACCTACTGCCTCTGCCTGCTGAGTGGTCAGGATTGTAGGAGTGTGTTACCACACCTGACAAAGGGAAAGCTGGGAAGAGGGACTTTGGTGACATTGGTGGCAGAGGTGCTTGCTAGAAACGATCTAGAAGTAGGACCCTTAGCCTTCAACCGCAGAGCTGTGTCTCCAGCCTTACCAATATTGCCCCATTCCCAAAATATGACATGCCCTTTTGCAAATTCTGATGCATACTTTTAGTGGAGATTTACTGCTTAGTTTCTTCTGATTGGAGGCCAGCACGGTCTGCAGAACAAGTTCCAGGACAGCCATGGCTACACAAAGAAACCCTGTCTCAAAAAGACAAAATAAATAAATATATAGAGGTTTTGTGGGTTACCAGGTTTTGTTTTTTTTTTTTTATGTTTTTGTTGTTTGGAATGTTTTTACTTTGCTTTGCTTTTGTGTGTGTGTGTTTTTCAATGTCTCAGTTTTGTAACAAAATAATAAGGAACCTAAGAGCTAGATGTTTATCATTGACTACATGATTGTCTTTGTAAAATAACACCTTTAAAAATAACTTCTCAAAATGAAATTGTGTTTTCTTATATTTTTTAAAGGGAAGATCAAAATTCAAGATATTTTAGCATGCAGCTTCCTAGATGATTTACTGGAGGTAAGTATTTATTAAACTATTTAATTTTGTCACACAATAATTGCTATTTTGTAATCATATTTCTGTGTTTCTTTAGCTAAGGGATGAGGAATTGTCCAAAGAGTGTCAAGAAACAAATTGGTTCTCTGCTCCTTCCGCCCTGAGGGTCTATGGTAGGATCCCATTACTAAAGTTCATTACCCATTTCTCATGGTGTCCAGAGGCCTGTTTTATACACGGGCTATTTAACTTAAGCCCAGAGTATTCTCCCCACTTAAGGGCTGGTACTCTAGGCTACCAAGATGTACTTCTTACTTTACTGATGTTTGAACTTTTGGAACTCTTCCATAGTTGGTATGGTTTGTTTTCAGTAGAACAATATAATTTATTTTCATTGGCTCAGAACAATAGCTGTTGTTTATTCTGTGATAAAATGCTGTGTCAGGATGCACAAAAGGGGGTATTTGGGAGTGATTTGGACTTATTGAACTTCATTAGTGTTCTACAGCATCATTTTGGATGGTCTCCTGACTCACTTAGGATCCATTACCACTGACTTAGGATCCATTATCTCTGACTTAAGCTGAAAGTGGTGTGTGTGTGTGTGTGTGTGTGTGTGTTTGCACGCATGCGCGCCTCACCAAGTTTAGAAACCTATGAATGTTCTAACTAACTGTACAAACTATAAACAAAAATGTAAGTGAAATAGTCAAAGAGCAGAGACTATAATGGGCTTTTCTGTGTGGGTTTAGCTGGGGAGTTGCTCTGATCAAGGTCTGCAGGCCACCAACTATTACCCCTGAGCCACTACCTTTTCTACCAGTGTGTTTACTTTCATTTCAGAGTCAGACTATTAGGTAATAAAATAACATTTCTGTTCATGTCCAGCCTTGGTCATTAATTAAAAAATATTTTGGTCCTGAGTCTGTTCCTATTACCTTTTTTCAAGGTCAGTATTTGAATCTTGATAAAGATCACAATGGCATGCTCAGTAAAGAAGAACTCTCCCGTTATGGAACAGCAACCATGACAAATGTCTTCTTAGACCGTGTTTTCCAGGAGTGTCTCACCTACGATGGAGAAATGGTATTGAAATCTGCTGTCTAATTTCAAAAATCTAGGCTCCTACAGTTTTAATGGGCTATCTTCTTGATGTAAATCAATAGTTTTTTATTTGCCTGTCTCAGGTAGACCACACTGGCACTGAACTTGATTTGTAGCAAGAATGATCTTGAACTCTTGATCCTCCCGTCTTGCGGTCCCAAGTGGCAGGGCTATAGGAACGCGCCGGCAGGGCTGTAGGAACGTGCCGGCAGGACTGTAGGAACGTGCCGGCAGGACTGTAGGAACGTGCCGGCAGGACTGTAGGAACGTGCCGGCAGGACTGTAGGAACGTGCCGGCAGGACTGTAGGAGCGTGCCGGCAGGACTGTAGGAGCGTGCCGGCAGGACTGTAGGAACGCGCCGGCAGGACTGTAGGAACGTGCCGGCAGGACTGTAGGAACGCGCCGGCAGGACTATAGGAACGCGCCGGCAGGACTGTAGGAGCGTGCCGGCAGGGCTGTAGGAACGTGCCGGCAGGACTATAGGAACGTGCCGGCAGGACTATAGGAACGTGCCGGCAGGACTGTAGGAGCGTGCCGGCAGGGCTGTAGGAATGTGCCGGTAGGGCTGTAAGAACGTGCCGCATGCCTTGCCTTCTTCAGCTTTATTACTGTCAGTGTGCAACCGGCTCTTAAAATTACTATCGGTGATTAATAACAGGATCTTAAAATGTCAGTGGAATTACTCGTCATGCTGAGTCTGTTCTTTTTTTTTTTTTTTTTTTTTTTTTTTGGTTTTTCGAGACAGGGTTTCTCTGTGGCTTTGGAGCCTGTCCTGGAATTAGCTCTGTAGACCAGGCTGGCCTCGAACTCACAGAGATCCGCCTACCTCTGCCTCCCGAGTGCTGGGATTAAAGGCGTGCGCCACCACCGCCCGGCGCTGAGTCTGTTCTTAAGGAAATTCAGTTAAAAGTACTTCCAGGCTTAGAACTCATAGAAAAATGAAGTATTTTCCTCATTTCATGATCAGTATAACTAAGGTAGAGAAGTGTGAACTAGTAAAGAGAAAAATTTGAACATTCAGTAAAACATTCTTCCCCCCAGACAGGGTTTCTCTGTGAAACCCTTGGCTGGCCTCGAACTCACTCTATAGACCAGGCTGGCCTTGAACTCACTCTATAGACCAGGCTGGCCTTGAACTCACTCTATAGACCAGGCTGGCCTTGAACTCACTCTATAGACCAGGCTGGCCTTGAACCCACAGATCCACCTGCCTCTGAAGAGTGTCAGACCACCACACCAAGCTTTGATAAGAAATATCCTAAAGAGCACTTGAAAAAATCAGTATGCTTGCTACTAAAAACATGTGGAAGCCAACCATGGTGGTACAAGCCTGTAATTCCAACACTTGGAAGATAGAAGCAGGAGGATCAAGAGTTTAAGATCAGCCTGAGCTATACAAAACCCTGTTTTAAAAAACGAACAACAAAAGGCCAGAGAATAAAAATGTCAGAGGGACTAGGAAAGGTGATGCACACCGGTAACCCCAGAACTCAGGGAAATGAGGCAGGAGGATTTTGTTTAAAGTCAGCATGGATTAGACTATAGAGCATCCATTGGTTCTCAACCTGTGGGTCATGACCCCTAGAGACCACCCAGAAACACAAATGTTTACATTATGATTCATACAGTAGCAAAATTATAGTTATGAAGTAGCAACGAAAATAATTTTATGGTTGGGGTCACCACAACATGAGGAGCTGTATTAAAGGGTCACGGCTTTGGGAACGTTGAGAACCACTGGTGTAGAACATCTCAAATAGAGAAACACACAAGGCTGCTAAAGATATAATGTTAGAGATGAGAGTCCGCTCTTCCCCTGTGGTGTGAGGTGAGAGTGTGCTCTTCCCCTGTGGTGTGAGGTGTGAGGTGAGAGTGTGCTCTTCCCCTGTAGTGTGAGGTGTGAGGTGAGAGTGTGCTCTTCCCCCGTGGTGTGAGCTGTGAGGTGAGAGTGTGCTCTTCCCCTGTAGTGTGAGGTGAGAGTGTGCTCTTCCCCCGTGGTGTGAGGTGTGAGGTGAGAGTGTGCTCTTCCCCTGTAGTGTGAGATGTGAGGTGAGAGTGTGCTCTTCCCCTGTGGTGTGCCCGTGTGAGGCAAGCATGCTGATAGGCAGCAAAGGAGAATGACTCCACAGCTCTTGCCATAGACTCGGAGGGTTAGCATAAACTGATACCCTCTGGTGAACAAGAGTCAGAGGGCAGCTTGAGTGAGGCTGTAATGAAGCTCCTCCTTAGCTCACTGAGACAGGGTTTCTCTGTGTAGTCCTTGCTTTCCTGGAACTTGCTCTGTACACCAGGCTGACGACCAGCCTGGTTTACAAGAGCTGGTTCCAGAACAGCTCCAAAGCTACAGAGAAACTGTCTCAAACAACAACAACAACAACAAAAAAAAAAACCTCATAGATCCGCCTGTCTCTGCCTCCTGAGTGCTGGACTTTAAAGGCGTGCACCACCACTGCCTGGTACAAAAAACATTTTTAGTCATATTCTATAAAATCTTTTCCAAGAATGTGAACTTCTTTTCCAAGTGAGTATTCTTTTTGTCATATTAGACAAGTATTCTGCCAGGCGTGGTGGCTCTCATCAGTAACCACAGCACTCAGGAGGCTGAGACCTAAGTCCTTGAGTTTGAAGCCAGCCTGAGCCACGTAGTGAATTCCAGGACAGCCCGGGGTGAGTGAGACTATTTCAACAAGCAAAGTGAATAAAAACTGCGAACAAAGAACCTCAACTGCACCCTTTCAAGATGCAGGCATTCTGTTCTGTTCATGTCTTTAGCTTCCATTCATATTTTTAAATTTTTTTCTGTTTGTATATGTGCAAGTTTACATGCCTGTGTACTAGGTCTGCAGCTTCAGGTATCATCCTTAGGAATGCCGACACAGGATCTCTGGTTGGCCTGGAGGCACAAATTACGTTAGAATGGCTGGCTGCCACACCCTTGGGATGCAGGTCTTCCCTTAGCCACCATCCCAGGCATCTTCACTTGGGGTCCTGATGCTTGTGAGGCTAGCAGGTAACCACTGAGCCAACCTCCTCACTCTAGTGGAAAGCATCGGATTCCTTTTTCTTTTGTTTTGGAGAAACTTGCAGGCCCATGCTGGCTTCGACGCAGATCCTCCTCTTCAGCTTTCAGGGTTCTGGGCTACAGGCATGCCACCAAGCTCAGACCTGCTGTAGACTAGGTATCAGCATCCATAGGTGCTACACGTACTGGTTCCAGTGGACTGCATCATCTCTAGGTCACCTGTAATTCCTCACACGATATAAATGCTATGCAGCTGTGCTGTGTTGTTTGAGTACTAATGGCAGGAAAAGTCTATGTTAGGTGCAAATCAAAATTTTTACCCAAATATTTTCAGCCCACGGGTGACTGAATCCATAGAAATGGAACTCACAGACATGGATGAGTGGGTTCGGAATAGTTATTTAAATAGACTGGTGTTCATTCTTCAAAGAGACTGCACTGAAATGAAGACATAAATTTAATGGCAGCATAAAATAACTTAATCGTTGTCTTGACAATTTTATAATATGGAAGAAAATTATAGTTTAAGCAAATCTCGCAAAGAAAATGAGCTGGTTCTCAGAACTGTCCTAGATTAGCGCCTCTGGAATTCCTAGAAACCAACGCTAAATGCACACACAAGTGGATTTATTTCCTATTTTAAAAAAGTTAAATTTGCCATCTGTGATTACAAACTACTTCACCTTGGCAGATACTCATCTAAGATTCCACCGCAGACTCTCAATGTTTCCTCTTCTGTAGGACTACAAGACCTACCTGGACTTTGTTCTTGCCTTGGAAAACAGAAAGGAGCCTGCAGCTCTGCAGTACATGTTCAAACTGCTGGACATCGAGAACAAGGGCTATCTGAACGTCTTTTCCCTGAATTACTTCTTTAGGGTGAGTATGGTGGGTAAAGGAGCTTTGTTACCCTGAGATACAGTAAACTATCTGGTTTAAATTACTTATTGACAGATTTACCAAACTTGATTTTAAATTGAAAAGGATTACTATAACAGATTTATTTATTTATATTTTTAGGAAATATATAATGGGAAAGTAAAGCTGACTTTGTTACACATCTTTTCCAGTATTCTCTTCTGGAAACAAACATGAGGGGCTCAGCCAGCTTTTGGAAATAGCAACAGCAGCCTGCAGCCTTAACCCTCCTCCTGAGCCCAGGTTCCCAGTAGCTGCAGTGTAAGCGTAGGAAGGCCCGTAATGTTCCTACAGTTGTACACTGGAGTGCAGTGCTCGGGGAGATGGCGAAGCTCAGCTTACAGTGTGGAATTGGACAGGAACTGGGGCGAGAAGGGGTTGGGAATCAGGGACTTAATTTTTTATTTAGATTTATTTCCATTAAATACAGGCCATACAAGAACTAATGAAAATCCATGGACAGGATCCTGTTTCATTTCAAGATGTCAAGGTTAGTCTTTTACGTACTTAACAACAGATAATGTAATCATGATAATAATAATGTTATATCCAATTTTATATGAAAGTAATTTGTGAACTATGAAACACTATTCCAAATCAGATTTTTGTTGTTACTTGTTCAGAACTGATTCTTGAGTCATCAGAAATGGAGACAAATTTGGATTTACTGATTGATATAGTTGATGGTTTCACTATCATTTTGTGTTCTCATGGAAATACTCATTTTATTTGAAGTGTTAGTTAGCTTGCATCTTTTAGCAGTCCTTTTCATTGTAAACTAAACATTCAACTGAAGGACTGTTGAGGTTCAAGCCTTTTAGTATGCTGTCTCAAAGAGCCCGCAAGCTTTGATCTATTAGATTTAAAGAAACATCCATTTTTCAGTATGAAAACTATCATTCCTCGGGGCTGGAAAGATAGCAACGCGGGTGAAAGCATCGGAGACCTGCGTTCTACTCCCAGCACTCGTGCAGGGCGCTGCTAGGCAGCTCTCAGCCACCTGTAACTCAGCTCAGGGACCCAATGCCCTCCTGAGCGCTGTAGGTTCTGGCACACATGTAGCATTCGCACACACAAATCTATAAATACAGATCTAGAAACCTGATGCTACTTGGCAGTTAGTCGGCAGCTTCACCAGTTAGGAAGAAACATCCAGTGGATCTTTTTGGTTTTAGTTGAGTATCATAATAAAATACCCCGACCAATTTTAACCAGGAATAAGCCTGAAGCACTTTTCTGATACAACGCAAATGAAGGAAATTACAAACTTTGTCACGTGAGTTTAAGAACCAGCAACCTAATCGTCAACCAATCTGGGAAAAATGCAGTTTAAAAGTTATATTTTATGAACCTGAGTTACTCTATAAATTTGTTAAAAATGTAACTGCTTGTAATGCTAGCTACTAAATAATCTTTGAGTAATTTTACCATACAGGATTAGAAAATGCTGGGAGGTAGTGGTACATTCCTTTAATCCCAGCACTTGGGAGGCAGAGGCAGATCTCTGAGTTTGAGGTCAGCCTTGTCTACAAAACAAATTCCAGAACCTATGGGTGGTAACACAGAGAAACTCTGTTTGGACAAATCAGAAAAAAAAAAATTAGAAAACACACATTACTGCCTTGAATATTTATCCTGTACACTTCATAACATAGAAGAGATTCTTCCATGAGTTCGAGTTCTGGTTGAGTCTTGGCACAGCTTTGTTATTCTGCGTGGCTAATTCTTTAATGCGGAGTTCTGTCCCTCCCGTACTGGGACTGGAGTAAAAGGTGCTGTTATTATGGGAAATGAAGTCTTCTCACTATCTTTGAACCACTTGGATTTTTAATATTTGGCTGAGCTCTGAAGAGGTGTGACTCTGTGTGGCTTTGTGGCAGAGTGCTTGCCGGACTAGAGACGGCTTGGGTTTGATTCCCAGCACTGGGGATGAAGAAGGTTATGCCCAGACTTTCCCCAACATTAGAAGGCAATAAAAAGTGTAACAGTTGCAGCCAAAGAATCCTGCATTGGACAGCTCTGCCATTAATTAGCTATGAGCTTGGATTAAACTCTGAGCCTGTTTTCTTCATCTATAAAATGAGAGATGATTATCATACAGCTAAGGAATCGCCCAAGAAAGGTGTGGCTAAGGAGATATCTAACAAGTGGAAAAGAAAGACCCAGAATAAAAATTGGACAGCAGTTGAGGTGTCCACCCTGAATTCCATCACGGTGACACAAGTCACTTCAACCAGCTTGCATTATCTTCTCTCCCACAGGATGAAATCTTTGACATGGTAAAACCAAAGGATCCTTTGAAAATCTCGCTTCAAGACCTAATCAACAGTAATCAAGGAGACACAGTCACCACCATCTTAATCGATCTGAATGGCTTCTGGACTTATGAGAACAGAGAAGCCCTTGTTGCTAATGACAATGAGAACTCTGCAGACCTCGATGACACATGACCTCTGAAAGACCACACTGCCTTCATAAAGACGCCTGAAGGCTGCATGCAGACCTTCTGAGGCAGAATCCTTAAGAAACATTCTAAATAAAACTCATCACATGCCTGTAAACACAGCAAATGTTGCTTACTAGAGTTTTGGTTGCAACTGGAACAATTTCAAAGTAATAGGACCGACTACTAGTTTTAATTTTTAATGAAGTGATAAGTTCCGGTTCCATTGAGCTCAGACACAAAGATTTGCTGTAGGTAGGTATTGAGTTTAAGGACAATTTCTGGTATTGATGTAGGATTACAATATTTGCTCTTCGTGAATATCAAGGACTTTTCAATCAGAGAGTAGCGTACTACATTTCTGGATTCAAAAGCTTTAAATGTGACTGGGGGGGGGGGGGGGACGGACCCATGGTCTCACTATGTAGCTCTGACTGGCCTGGAATTTGCTATGTGGACTAGGTTGGCTTCATAAACAACCATCACCTCTTCCTCCCAAGTGCTGAGTTTAAAAATGAGTGCCACCATCCTTATTTTGCTTTTTTCTTTTTAAGATTGCATTTATTTACTGTGTGTGAACACCAGAGCACACATGCTGGAGCTCCAATTCAGGTTGCCAGGCTCACCAGCAAGCATTGTACCCACTGAGTCATCTTCCTGCCCAACTTCATTTTCATTAAGATGGTGTTTCAAGCCAGACAATGGTGGTACACGCATTTAATCCCAGCACTTGGGAGGCAGAGGCAGATGGATTTCTGTGAGTTTGAGGCCAGTATGGTCTACAAGAGCTAGTTCCAGGACAAGCTCCAAAGCTACAGAGAAACCCTGTCTCAAAAAACCAGGGGGGAAAAAGTATTCAAGCAAATGTTTTGTTTTCATTAAAATCACAAGTATGAAAGTTTGTCTATTTTATTAACCATTATCAAGTTACATTTACAAAACTGTACCTTTTGTTAAAAGGTTTTTGTTAAGGAATTTACTAATTCATCATACTAACTCATGCTTTATGGGGTTTTTGGTTGTTATTTGTTGGTGAAATAGAAGGATCTCAGTCTGTAGTCTAGGCCAGTCTCCAGCTCATGATCCTACCTCAGCCTCCCGAGTGCTGGGTGTGCAGACAGCCACCACACCTGACTTCAGTTTTTATAGAAAGAGAGCTCAGAGGAAAGTAGAGTGTCATGGACTATGATCCAGAGGGAAAAACAATTCTACAAAGGACTGGAAAGTAGAGTGTCATGGACTATGATCCAGAGGGAAAAACAATTCTACAAAGGACTGGAAAGTAGGAAAAGGTGAGAGGCTTAAAATAAAACCAACCATTTAACCCATTTGTAATAAATTTTATAGTTTGCATAAACCAAAGTATAAAAACGTAAGGCACAGTGAATAACTCCAAACATCACAAACCAGCTACTGCCCAACAAGCAGCAAAAGTAAACTGAGGAACCCGGAGCCTTGGCAGGTCGGCCGGCCTACTGTAATCACTAGCTGTGTAAACTGAGAACTAGCGCTTCGGGAGAGATGCTGGAGAGATGCTCTCACGGGTCGCCTTACACGGCCCGCCTTCACCTCAGGACCAGGTGTCTGAGGTGACACCGCACCAAGAGGAAGACGTCAGGCCAGCACGTTTGAGCAACTTAAGACTGGGTTTTAGTAGAGTGTAACTGTTAACGGCCTTAGTTACACAATCTAAGGATAAACCTCTAAGGATTAAGTCACGTCGTTTGCACCCTTGAAGGGAGCTCACCAGTCACACCTCCAAGGAGGACTCCATACTTGCTGAGCCTTACAAATTTCGGTCCAACTGAAACTTTGACTCAAACTTTGAATATCCAGTTAGAAATCCGGCTTTCAGGCGAGCCTACTGAGAGCCCACTGGCATGCTCGTCCATCCACATTTGCATTGTGCACATGGAAGGCAGAAGCCTAGTTTAAGAGGTAATTTCTAAAGGCTGTGATCAGCATCTAGAACACTGTCCACTTTCTCTTTATCCACATTTGGTTATAAATCAAAGTTAAACAGATAAAAGGTTCTGAACACATATGTAGGAATATTTCCTAAATTACACTCATATTACACAACTTTGTAAAGGATAACCTAGCAAGGAGAGAGCCGAATCTGGTCCACATCAACGATCCAGCTCACGGCTGTGACTTCAAAATGGTGAACAAGACCAACCTGGTACCAATTCCTCATCTCCCCGCTACCCTGCCTGTGGTGCAGAAAGAGGTAAGTCTGACATACCCAAGGTGCCAGCCATGGGGCAGTCGCTGGGGACCAATGCCAAACTACAACTCCAAATTCAGTGACCAGTGTTAATCTGTGATCAGAGCAAGCTACTAACTACTGAAAATTCGAGAGTGACGTGTAGTGAAATGAGAACCTTCTTAATCTTTAGTACATTCAGCACTTTTCCATAAATGCTCTCAACAAAGCCGGGTGGTGGTTGAGCAGAGACAGGGAGATCTGTGAGTTAGAGGCCAGCCTGGTCTACAGAGCTGGGACAGCCAGGGCTACACAGAGGAACCCTGTCTCAAAAAAAAAAAAAAAAAAAAAAAATCTCAACAAGAAGCAATCGACAGTGCTTCCATCCTGCTGCTTTTATTACACGCTGACCTACCCTTGTGGGAAGTGACGATTTGGTGTGTTACATGCACGGAAGGGAAAGCATGAAATGCAGGGAACTTTACTCTCAGGCTGTTAGGATTATTATTAGCTCCAAAGATGAGTTATCACTACTTTAAAAAAAAATGCCCCCACTCCAAAAACCTTAATGAACAATTTAACTCCCCTTTTAATGTACAATGCCTTCAGTTTCTGTTTTTGTTTTGTTTTTTGAGACAGAATCTCACTGGCGAGGCTAAAGCTTACTATGTTGATCAGGTAGGCTTTGAACTCACACAGAACCACAGGCCTCCCTAGTACTAGGATTAAAGGTGTGTGTTATCACGTCTAGCTAAATGTCCTTTTGGTTTATAAAAGATGATTTTTTTTTTTTTAAATCAAAGCACTGGGCTAAGTGACAGCACTTGGTTAGTGTGTGTGAAAGAAGCCCTAGGTTTGCTCCCCAGCACAGGGCAGGCGGGGGTGGGGTGACCCCTAATTTACCATAATCAAAACATCCCAACTTCAGATCTGACTGTGCTAGATAGAGCATAAAAATGAAGAAAGATTTTTCCCTTAATAATTTAAAATATAAATAGTTGTTTTCAGTCCCACTAAACAAAATGTAAAAAGTTCTTGATTGACGTTTAGGGTGTAACACTTAATACACGTCATTTCGTCCTATGGTGGGGCTGAAGCTGGCTGCTGTTTCCGTTCCGTAATTACTTCACAGTCTTCCTCCATCTCAAAGTTGACGTTCACAAATGAGGTGGACACCACTGTTTCTGGCTGATCCGTCTGTACAATAGAGTCGGCCTGCATCTTGTTTTGCTGGAATTGTCTTTCTGCTTCTTCAGACATCCTATTTTCCTCTTCTTCCTCCTCCTCCTAAAAAATGGGAAATGTCAGTAGTGAAAATTCTAATGCCTGAAAGGAACACATATGTCTTCTCTCAATAGCATCTTTTTCTTCAAAAGCCAAACTTTGGTGTCTAATTAAGACAAACGTCTGGGGTGGGGGTGTAGCTCAATGGTAAAGTGCATGCTGGGGATCTGACACCACACACAGAGGGAGGGAGGGAGGGAGGGAGGGAGGGAGGGAGGGAGGGAGGGAGGGGAGGGAGGGAGGAAGGAAGGGGAGGGAGGGGGGGAGGAGGGAGGGAGGGAGGGAAGACTATCACCACCAAAAACAAACCTATCTCTTTCCTTTTCTCAAATTAGTTATTTTAAAAGGTGGATGGCCCAGCACTACTTACCCAGTAAAGTAACAAATGAGCTACCATGACACTTGTGTTAGCTACTGTGACACTTTAATTATAAGGTGTCATCCTATTTAGTAACAGGTTGGGTCATTCATTAATGGTTAGTTTTCCCTAAGCACTAATTAAGGTACAGATGACCCAAGTCCTGCCCTCAAGACTTTGCAGTTAAGAGAGGAGGACACCAAAGCAGCACTTACAGAGCTACAGCGACACCTCGGTTCAGAACTGTTGTGCATGGGGAGGGGACGCTGTCCTGGACCCTGAGATACAAGTCAGCACAGAATGAGTAACCTCCCGGGTTGGACAGAGAAGTCTGCAGTGTTTTCTTCTTTGTTTTTGTTAAGAACAGTTTTTTTTTTGTTTTGTTTTTGTTCGAGACAGTTTGAAGCCACACAATGGAGCAAAGGTGACCTCCAGGCACAGTCCTCCAAGGACAAAGCTGAATGAACAAATGCGTGCAAACGCTGTGTTCACACCTCTTCTGGCCTTCCCTGACCTGCTGCTCCATTTCCTTGAAGGACAGTGACACACTCTGGTTCACCGCGGTCTTGCCAGTGTGCACTGGGTACTCTTCTGAGCATTTTAGACACTAACCCTAAGAAAAGATGCAGTTCTCATGAAGACAGAGACTTGAGTCTTGAAGAACTCAGTAACTACCTCACTACTTACACAGGGTGGGTGGTATTTCTCCATTTTTAAAATGACAATACCAAAAGGTATATAAAAAAGACGAAATTAATACACATGAGGCCCCTCATTTATTAGCACCGGCAAATGAAACCTAGCATAGTTTTTATACATTTACCTTAGGAAATCCGAATTAAAAATCTGTTAATTTAATAAACTAAAGAAGCTGTATTCAGTGGCAGAGCCCTTGTCTGGCATGTGTAAAGTCCCATGTTTGATGTCTAGCACTGCAAAAAGACACAGGAGCTACCTTTTTGGCTCCAAGAGTGTCCACACACTCATTACAGAGTTCATCAATCCTTGAGCAAACCATCAATCAAGCGAGAAAAGGAGACACACCTCCTTCTTCATCCGGTAATACTCATCAATGGCATACTGGTATTTTGGGGTGCTGATGCCCAGAACCGATGCAATCTTCTCTCCAAGAAAGTCACACACTAAAGACGCAAAAATTAAGAGACATACAACACCATCAACATTCCTTGAGCATTTTATGTAGTACTAAGAGTACAAGAGTTACTGTTTTATCCTTAAACCTGACAAATTTATCACCCTGTCTCCTCACTTCCGTCCTGGACACCCAGCCTGTTCATGTTCCTATTTTTGCAAGTTTGTTTAGAGAACAGTATCTCGCTATGTGACAAGCAGATTCCAAGTATTTAATCAGCGACCCTCCACCACCTCCGCAGTGCTGGGACCAGATGTGTGCTGGGCCAGCCACGGTGCTGCTGTCTGCTTCTCACCAGTTAAGAGGGCTCTCTTTAATAAAACACTCTGTATCAGAAGGTTAGGGTATCACTGATGGCTGCCACGGCTTCCTCACCAGACAGTGTGGACCCTTCAACTGTGAGCCAGAACAGACCCTTAAATTGCTTTTGCCGTGTATTCTGTCCCGCCAAGATCAGCACCAAATACAGAAGCCTCTGGAGGGCAGTGAGAGGTCAGGCTTAAGAGACAGAAGGTTGCCAAAGCAGATAAAAGAGCTGTGTGTGAGGCTTATGCTCTTCCGTCACACCGAGCAGTCTTGAACACAATACATGCTCAGTAAATGTTGGCTCAAATACTAGCCGTGATTTGCTCTGGTTAAAAAGAAAAAGACAAAAAAAGATAATTAAATGGGCAGTGGTGGCGCACACCTTTAATCCTAGTACTCAGGAGGCAGAGACAGGTGGATCTCTGTGAGTTCAAAGCCTGCCAGGTCAACAGGGCGGGTTCCAGGACAGGCTCCAAAGCTACACAGAGAAACCCTGTCTTGAAAAACCAAGACAAAAATTATCAAGTAGCTAATTAGAAACAGTAAATTTTATGATTTAAACATTATTGGCATAACCACATAAGCTGATAATTCACTTCCTTCAAATATCAGTTACATTTTCATTTAAGAAGTGAAATATTGCTGGAACATAGCTCAGTAGAAGAGTTTTTGCCTAGGATGTACAGGGCAGATTCGATCCTCAGTACCATAAAAAAAAATTACATGGAAGAAACCATGCATTGCCATAACTACATAACAAAGAATAAAATGGTAAGATGCTAACATGCGAGAAGAAATTAAATACTAATAAAAATTAAAATACAAATGGCTTATAATAGGCTTTAGAATAAGCAGTAGACACATTGAGATTAACAGCAGTAGAAAACCAAATGGTAAAGTAACAGAACAGGCGGTAACAGGGTTCAAAACACGACAATCTGTCTACATTAATGGTGTCACTTTCCGGGCGTGGCTTTTATTACTATACTTAGGGAGACAGCGTATTGTGTGGAGGTCAGAGGACAACTCAGCAGGAATAAGTTCTTCCCTGACAGGGTTTCCAGGGATCAAATCTGCCTGTCAGTTTGGTGGCAAGCACTTTTACCTGCTTGAGCCAACTTGCTGGCCCTGGTCTGTTTTTTAACAGAACTCTAAGCTGAAGAACATTTGTACAAGCTAGACAGTATTTTTCAATGCTAGCTGGCTACTCCAGGACAAAGTAGTTCCCTAGTTTGTTTCTTCTTCAGCAGGAGCATCTCACTTGGTAAAGCTCCTGTGTGCAGAACTTACGGCAGTCACACGGAAGCGCCGTACCTGAGAGGGTGGAGGTGGCAGCCCGAAGCATGTGGAACCATAAGTAGGGGCCCCAGGGAAGCTTTGTCTGCAACAAGAAAGTCAGGTTAGCAACGTCCTCCATCGCCACTATCTTCAGAGCACACAGGCAGAAGTCCAGTCCGACAAAAACCTAGGTGTTTATATCCAAATTCCACAAGGACACTTCATCTTATTCCACATAACTTCTACCACCTTTACCCACAGAAGGACCAAAAGCAGATTTAGCAATGGAATGGCAATGGAACTCAGTCTGTGCTGCCTACAAACTCTCCAGCCTTTCTCCCGCCTTGCAATGTCTTCATTCTTCAAAGCACATCCAAGAGGGTGCAGTATCCACAGAAAGACCCTTGTGGGCATGCCTAACAAGTAACATGTAACGTTACAGCAGGAAAACTCTGCTGGAGAAACTATGGTAAATAAGGGCATAACAAGTGGACTTTCAGTGGTGAAAAACAACTGGAAGGAAGGCTGTTTGCCCTTTCTTTTTTCTTTTCTTTCCTTCTTCCTCCCTCCCTCCTTCATTCTGTCTGTCTGTCTGTCTGTCTGTCTGTCTGTCTCTCTCCTTATTTACTTTGAGGCAGGGTCTCACTCTGAAGCTCTGGCTGTCCTGGAACTCGATATGTAGACTAGGCTGGCCTAGAACTCACAGAGATCTGACTACTTCTGCTGTCTGAGTGCAGGGATTAAAGGTGTGCAGCATCACGGCCGGTTGCTTTCTTCTCCTAAAGGACAATCATGGGACTACAGCACACACCCCGAGACAGTTTACTGCATTTGGCAAAGGCCGCTGGCAGAATGCTTCTTACAGCAACAAATCTTGGTTCTTGCTTGTGTGAAGGTTGCCTAAGATAAGGATGTCCTTACGGACAGAACTGAAACTGCAGACATGCTTCACTGAACTGAAATTTTTGCTTACATAGAGCCTGCATTTGGATGCATTAATACTTGTTCTTAAATTGCCTTCAAGGAGAAAGAGAAATTTGTTCATAAAATTTTTAGTGGAGATATATTTGTGATTATAAAGGCATTAAAAAGCCAACCAAGAACATGTCTGAAGACTGAGCAGAGTCGGATGTGCAGACCTATAGTTTTATCCCAGCACTGGGAAGGCATAGCCAGAATAACAGCATTTTAAGTGTGAGGCAAGCCTTGTCTATCAACTTCAAGGCATCTGGGCTACAGAGGATGCTATCTCCGAAAAGACTGAGTGGACCTCATCTCGTGATGAAAGCAGGTCTGCCAGGGGGTGAGGAGATAATGCAACCAGCAAAGCGTTTGCCATGCAAGCATGGGACCTGAGTTCAATTCTCAGACCCCATGAAAAAAGCCAAGCCTAGTGGCCTGCACTTGTAATCCCAGCACTGGGGAGAGAGACAGTAGGACTCTGGGGCTCACTGATCAGCTGGCCTATCCTAGTTGGCAAGCTCCAGATCCCAGAGAGACCCTCACTCCCAAGGAACAACATTTGAGGTTTATCTCTGTCTGGCCTCCATATGCAGCACACAAATGAGTAGCCCTCTCCCCTCTCCCCCACACAGAGTATACGGAAAACAAATGAGTGAGGTGGCTTAGGGGATAAGGGCACTCGGTGCCCAACCTGACCACTTGAGTTTGATCTTAGAGACCCATACAGTGGAAAGAAATGAGTCTTGCAGGTTGTCCTCTGACCTCCACATGTCCTGGGGTATTCACATGCCCCCCACAACATATACAAGTGTATATGTGTATGTATGTATATATGTATATATATACTGTGTACATAAATAATATGTGTACATATGTTATTATACACACATATATGTATATCTAATTATAACATATGCTATAGAGTACCTATATAATGTATAACAAATATATGCATATTATATGTGTACATATGTTATGTGTATAAATTTTAAAACCTTACAGGGGCTGGAGAGATGGCTCAGTGGTTAAGAGTGATGGGGAACCTTGTTAGCCAATCATCTTTAAGAGGTGGGTCTTAGTTAAGGCGTGGCTTCTCTGGGACCCAGGGTAAAACATGTGCACCTGTGTGTGCGTTCTCTCTGCACTTTTTCCCGTAGGACATTGCTGTACTTGGATTTCTCGTTTCCTATTTTGTGAGTTTTCCCCTTATAATAAAATATAATTGTTTTATCCTTAGCTAGCCTAGTTATTTTAATATAAGAGCAATTGCTACTCTTCCAGAGGACCCAGGCTCAATTCTCAACATCTACATGGTGGCCCACAACTGTCTCTAGCTCCAGTTTCAGGGGATCTGGCACAGAAGTAGCTTCCTCCTTGCAAAGATAATCCATTATTAAGTAAGTGCTACCTATGCCTATTAACTCTCTGGCTCACATCTGGAACTGTCTGGATTGACAGCAAGAGGGTGCTCTTGGGGATGAGGGTTACTCTAAGGCCTCTGTTTAAGACACTCTGACTTTGATTTACAGTAAGCAGAACAATGGCAGAATAAAAGGGACTGAACAAATTTCCTTTTGTTGCGGGGTCTTTTTGTTGTTGTTGTTGTTTGAAAAAGGGTTTCTCTAAATAGCCGTAGCTGTCCTGGAACTCACTATGTAGACCAGGTTGACTTCAGTCTTACGGAGTTCTGTCTCTTGAGTTCTAGGCATAAAGGCATGTGCCATTTTATAACATGTAATGTTAAATTTCTATAGTATATACCAGGTTGTACGACAAAGGAACCACTCAGAAAAGACCCAAACGTACAGACTCAGGCATGTAGCGCCTGCTGGTAATTTCAGCACAATGGCAGACAGGTGGCCTGCAGGGTTTGCCGCCCACCCCTGATCCCAGGGAAAATTCTTTCTCAAACAAGGCAGGCAACAACACGTGCATACATGGGTACACCAGCACACACGTGAACGTGCATATACACCTACACACACACAGACAGGAGAAAGCACACCAATGGTCTCACTGGACAGGTCTCCTGAAGTTGTTTCTAGGACAGTAACGGCCAGCACTGAAGCGAGGATTACCAAAGAACCCAGCTCTGGCTGGGGAGGCGGGTGGCACCTGTCGTCACCACAAATTTCGCAGAAGGAACTTATCCAGCCCGTTATTTGGACATGGATGTTGCTGAGCCAAAATCACAGGTGGCTCAAGGGTCTCCCCAGAGCCATGTCACCACCCCCATCTCAGATGCACCCAGCTGGGACTTCACTGTGGGTCTTCAAGGGTTTTAGTTTACAGATAAAATCCCACATTTTTTTCCTCTAAAAATGTGTCTTTTGTCTTCCCCCTCAAGACTTTGTTTTTCAAACAACTCTGTGGTTAATAATATGGCCATACTCCCTAAATCAATAGTTCTCAACCTCCCTAATGCTGCGCCCTTTAACACAC